GGTGTCTGTTCCTCTGTGTTTACCTTTTTTCACATTGTAATTGTTTTGATAATAGACTGAACTCCCAGATCCTCTGTTCTTATAATTTTATTCTGTTCTTGACTCTTCCGTTTGTGATTGAGTTTGGGTGATGCTGCCACATACGGTATTCTCTAGTTGTTGTCTGTTCTTTTTGGTTCTCAGCCACAGAACTTCCTTTAGGATGTTTTTCATAGCAGGGTTGGCTTTGGAAAAATTTGTTGTTGTTTTAAGTGCCGTCAAGTTGGTTCCAACCCATTAGCAACCCTATATAGGGTTTCTGAGGAGCAGCTGGTGAGATTGAACCGCCGACCTTGCAGTTCAAACGGCTTTGTAGTCTGATGCATTAACCCACAGTGTCACACCAGGAAAAGTCTGTTTATCCTGGAATGTTTTGATTACACCCTCATATTTGATTGACAGCTTTGCTGGGTAGAGGATTCTTGGGTGGCAGTTTTTTTCTTTCAGGGTTTTATATATGTCTCCCCATTGCCTTCTTGCCTGCATGGTTTCTGTTGAGAGATCTGAGCTTAATCTGATTTGCTTGCCTTTGTATGCTACACTTCTATTTTTCCTAGCTGCTTTCAGGATTCTGTCCTTATCTTTGATTTTGGAGAGCTTGATGATTATATGTCTATGTGATTGTCTTTTAGGGTCTATCCTTCCTGGGGTTCGTTGAGCTTCTTGAGTGCATATCTTTTTCAGGTTGTTAGGGAAATTTTCTTCCAGCAGCACTTCAGCTATCACCTCTGTGAACTTGTGTGATTCTTCCTGTTCTGGAACGCCGATAATTCTTAAGTTATTCTTCTTCATGTTGTCCAACATGAAACTTAGGCCTTCTTCAGATTTTTCTTTATCCTTTTTTTGTGTTTGCTCTTCTATTTTAGTAGTGTTGAGAGATTTATATTCTAGCTCACTAGTTCTGGCTTCTATTCTATACCTTTGCCCTTTTAGTGTATTGTCCATTTCTGTATTCTATTATTAATCCTTTGGACCTCTTTCTGTAGGTTTTGAATTGTTTCTAATGCTATATCTGTCTTATTTGATTGTTCCTATAGTGCTTTCCTGACTTCTTCCTTATTTTTCTCAACTCCATTGTATAGTGTTTTGATATATTTATAATCATTTTTCTGAATTCCTTCCCAGGCATTTCCAAAGCCTGCCCTTCCAGTATGGAGTGTAGGTCTACTTCCAGCTCATTTGCCTCAGTCACTTTATCTCATTTCTGGACATGTACTGATATGGTCACCTGCTTCTGTTTTTGGGGCATACTCAGGAGTTATCTGTGGCCTTAATACTTAGATGGGTGTGTATTATGGTATTTTTTTATTCTTTCTGGTTGCATCCAGGTAGATGTGATCAGGAGATAGGCTTCCCTTTTCATTCTTATTTCTGAGAAATTTCAAGATGCCACTGTTGGTCGTTGTGACGTAACTCAGGATTTAATTTTCATCCCGTTTCCTTTTTATTATGCCAGTCCTGCTCCACAATCCCCATTCAGGCATTTTTCCTAGTGATAAACAGTTCAAGGCCGGCTGTAGTAGTTTTGCACTGCCGTTTGGTTTTAAGTGGAAATTGTCACTTTAAATTTTGAGAAGATCTGGGCACATGTGTAGTAGAACCCTCTGGAGGTGGGGTGGGGTGTCCACTTGCTCAGGCACCCCCCTCTAGTCACCTGAATGGAGGTGCACAGCCAGCGAGAGACCAATGAACAAGTACAAAAAAAAAGTGTCCACACTTTTATCTCCACTGTTTTGTCAGGGGTCCGTGGCTGCTCTGATCCTTCCCCTGCTTGGTCTCACCCAAGATGGCAGCTTCGGGAGCAGCTGAGCCTCTTGGATTAGAAAGCAATGGATTTCTTGCTTCTGCTACAAATTCCCCTATCTGTAAGCCTTCCAATTTCTAACTATTCTTTTATATGTGGTTCAGAGTTTTGGCACCATCCCCTGAGTTTGCTTGGTCTGGTAATCTGTGTAGTTGCTGAGGGTCTCCTCACTGCATTTCTACCTGATCCGCCATCTTGTTTGTTCTCTCATGTATACTTCTTGCTTGGCATATCTAAAATAGAACTCATTGTTTCCCCTACATCTGTTTTTCTTTATTCATTTCCTGTCGGAATAGTGACATCTGTCCTCTCAATCTCCTAAGCCAGAAACCTGGAAGGCAACCTTGACTCTTCTCTCTCTCTCTCATCTTTCATACAAGATGATCACAAAGTTCATCTAATTTTATCTCAGCTCATATTTCTTATACCTGTCTTGTCTTTTCTTTTTACCTCAATTACCATTGTTCCAATTATCTCCCATTTAAACTATTGCAGTGAAATGCATCACTCTTTCTTTTAATAAACATTTGTTGGACTTCTGTGTGCCAAGCACTGTGTAGCCATTGGGGATACTTGGCAGCTGTCCTTAGGACATTGGTAGATTTGTCAGCTTGTCATTGCTCTCTCTTCACTAAACTTACCGTTTTTAAATCTCATCCACTAGAGTGATACATCCTACACCCAGAACTTTTCTGCTTAAGATCACCCACTTAGTCTTTTCAGACTTTTGTGATCTGTTCCTTATTTAATTCTCCAGTCTCCTCTCTCACCCCTGTGCCTCACTCTTTATATTCCCGTAATAAGCTGCTTGTATGTCAACACCTCATCCAGGGTTGTTTGATTCCTTATGTGCTTTTGATCATGCTATTGCCTGTTTATGGAATCCTGGTGTGATGCTGTGGGTTAATGTGTTGGATTGCAAATTTGCTTTGAACCGCAAGGTCAGCTGTTCAAGTTCACCAGCTGCTCTTCGGAAACCCTATACAGACAGGGTCGCTATGGGTCAGAACCAACTCGATGGCACTTATCAACAAATCAACAACATTGCCTGTTTAAATCCCTTTTCCCTCAAGTTTATATTAATTCCTATGAATTCCTTTGAGGGTTCCTGGAATAGGTGACTTCTGAACTAATTTTGTTATTCTATGTATGTTTTTGTCATAGTAACCAGTGAATTAAAACTGCTTTCTTTTTCTTTTCCATTAAACTGAAAGCACCGTGAGAGCTAAGATGATAATCTTATTTTTTCATACATTCTTTTAAAGGACAATATTTAGCATATAGTAGGTGCTCTGGAGTTTTGGTCTTATGATGGACTAAGCATTGGGCTTCTAGCCATCATGTCAGCGGTTCAAATGCACTAGCTGCTTCATGGGCAAAAGAAGAGTCTATCTGTTCTTAAGTAAAGTGGGTAGAGAACAGTAGACTCTCAGTACGTACTTATTGGATTGAACTGAAACAGCTTATTTTGAGCTTTCAACTTGACCTTCCCTGCTAAATTCTGTTTTTAATCCACTTTCTTTCTTCATTTAGGATAGAATATTTCTTTTCTTCTCCCCTATATTGTAGTGATTAAGGTTCCCATCTTTTCATTAGTTTGGATCTCTTAGCTGACTTAGTGCAAGTGATAAATTCTGATCATGTTGTCAAATAGAACTGACTAGGATGGGCCACAAACTAGCTTTGTTGGTATATATGGCCAATGATAAGTAGCACTGATACTGTCTCTGTTGTTTGTTCAATGTGCCTGAACCAAGTAATATGCTTTTTTCTATTAGATAAAGAAACTTTTATCCAGTTACTAACCATTGTATTTCCTTTTTTTAACCTTTGAGCAAAAGCTAATTAATGAAAAAAAAAAAAAGCTAATTAATGCTTATCCACAATTACTAGGTACCATCTTGCTCTTTGTGCCCTTGAGTTATCTCTGTCTCATAGTGACCCTGTAAAGGTTTCTAGACTGTAAATCTTTGTAGGAGCAGAAAGCTTCATCTTTCTCCCACAGAGTGGCTGGTGGACTTGTGGTTTGCAGTCTAGTATTTATCTTACAGAGCCACCGTGCTTCCCTGTATTATGTTGTTATGTGCCATCGAGTCGGTTCCGACCCATAGTGACCCTGTATAGGGTTTCCGAGGGTGTGTTAGCTAAGTTTTATTTATTTTATCTAATTGTTATATTAAGGAGTCATGGTGTGGTGCTTTGGGATAAGCACTCACCAGTAAGGTTGGTTTGAACTGCAAGGTTGGTGATTCAAACTCACCAGCTGCTCTTAGAAGTCCTATACAGTATCGTTATGGATCAGCACTGACTTGATGGCACTGAATAATGGCAACAACAGTTGTCTTATTAGGAGTCCTGGTGGGATTGTAGAATCAACACTGGACTGTTAACCACAAGGTCGGCAGTTCAAATCCACCTGCCGTTCCATAGGAGAAAGATGAGGCTTTTTTGCTCCTGTAAAGATTTATAGCCTCAGAACCTAAGTAGGGTTGACATGAGTTGGAATCAGTTTGATGGCAGTGGGTTTATAAAAATGTTTTTTGCATGTGTATTTTTTGTTTTTATCCTCAAATTTTTTTTGAAAGCATATAAATCATAAGTAATAGAAAAAGAAAACAAATCAATAATGAGTACAAGTAAAGAGTGTTCCATTTATTTACTTCATTCCAATTTAAGATTTATATGGGGATGATAGGAACCTTTGTGATACAGTGGTTAAAGCACTTGGCTGCTAACTTAAAGCTTAGTGGTTCAAACCTATTAGCTTCTCTGCAGGAGAAAGATGTGGCAGTCTATTTCCATAAAAATTTATGGCCTTGGAAACTCATGGAGCAGCTCTGCAGTATCCTACAGGATCACTAGGAGTTGGAATTAGCTCAGTGGCAGTGGGATTGGATTTTTTGTTTATCAGAATGATATGCTATATTCATTTGGTAGAATATTTACTATATTATTTTTTACAAGTGTTATAAAGCATTTTCCCAGATTATCTAAATTTTGAAGTCGTTCTGTACTTTGTCTAGTTTTGTAAAGCTTTAGTTGCTTCATTGTGTGTTATTTACATTACCCTGTGTCATGTAACCCAGATTTGGATAAAGACAGGGCATAGATGTTATTTGATATGGTTTAATGTTTAACGGTTGGTTCTCTTTCTCAGAACTTGATGGAGAGTTTGGATTCACTGCTTTGTGCAGAAGGTTCTGAAAGTCTGAAGAGTTTATGTCTGAAACTTCTCCTTTGCTTAGTGACTGTAAGTTACCCATCCATGTTTCTTTGTAAAGGGCATCAATTGACTACTTGTCCGGGAAGAGACAAACTTATTTGAATACTTGAGCTCAAAGTTCAAAGAAAAAGAGAGAAAAAAATTGTCCTCTATTACATCACTCTATTATGTCTCATTTTCTGGAAGTTGTTCTTTGGAGAAAATTTCAGCTGCAGGAATGTGATAATTTATTACTTTAGAGGTTCCACTGCAGGAAGACTATTCTCTTCTGGATTTTTAGATTTGCCCTTCTTATCAGGCCGTATTTGGAAATGGTCTTTGTGATTCTAAGAATTTCTAACTGTTAAGCTTTGATTTTATGGTTAGAAGCGGGATGCAATTTCTGATAGGAGGAGGGCAGGAGGTTGTTCATTTACTTCAGGTGATTCCTTTACTCTGTCACCACTTGAAGGCCTCTGGATTCATAACCTGGACTTCTGTGCATTTGAGGAATGAAATCCACAAACTGTTAAGCAAATGCTTGTGTGGGATATGAGAGAAACAATGAGATGTTCAAAGATGTAGTAAGTTTTAATTTGGTAACTTTCTTCCCTTCTAGTAGCTGTCTATTCAAGTGCTGGTAGCTTTGTTTTGCTTGTAAAAGGTCAAGTAAGTAGCTATTAGAATGTTTTAACCTTTCTCTTTCTCTTAGATGCTAGGGAAGGAGATATGAGATATTAGAGTGCCTCAGTATAAACTTTAAAAGCCTTTTATTGCATCCAGGTGACAGATAACATCAGTCAGAACACAATCCTGGAGTATGTAATGATCAACAGCATATTTGAAGCAATTTTACAGGTTGGTATATTCCCTTGTCATGTCTTTTTCTTTTAGGTAAACCATGTCCTCATATCTTCTATGTTTGTATTCCTACGAGTTAATATGATAATGTATTTCTGGTTCTTGTTACAGATACTCTCACACCCACCAAGTCGTAGGGAGCATGGGTATGATGCTGTTGTATTATTAGCTTTGCTGGTAAACTACAGAAAGTATGAGGTGAGTGGACCCCTTAGTGGACAATGTTTTATTTCTATAACCTTTCTAAATATGACCATTCCTAGTGGACCTTGCTAATGTAGGAAATGTGTTCTTGGCAGATGGTATGTGGATTTATTTTGATAAACTCAATGCTAAAAATTTCATATTAAATGCATGGGACAAACTACATAGCTGTTTAAAGGACTCCTATAGTAGATCTTTTTATAAAGTGAGTAAGTATCCCGTAATGCAGTGGTTCCTAAACTCAGCTGATCATTAGAATCACCTTGGAACTTCAAAAAAGAGATTGTTGAGCTGTACTCTGGATATGCTGAATTAGAATCTCTTGGCTTTGGGACCTTTGAATGTTATGATTAGTCAGGAGCCAGGATTGGAAACACTGACCTAGTGTATCTGTTCTGAAAGATTGGATGTAATATATCGGATTTCTTTAATGCAGTTCACTTGTGGGAACTCTTGTCAATTTTAATGAAAAAACTAGGTCCTTATCCATATCAGTTCTGAAATTCTATTTGCCCCTGAATTAATCAGAATACAGATGAATAGGTTTTGAGATAAAGAGCAAAACCCAGAAGTTTTTACTTGAGTTGATGAATCTACTTGATTCCTCTCAAAAGTTTGAATGCACAGAAAAGGAGGGGGAATGCTCAGAGAAGACCAGAGACTTCATTGGAAATTCCTTTAGATAAATAGGAAGCATTTGGCATTGAGTCCTGGATACCAGGAATACTTCATTGAACCCAGAAGTCAGGAGCTACATGGAGGAAGTAGCATTTGTATGATGAGATGGAGAGAGAATTTTCATTTGTGAACTTTGGATCTTCTCTTTAGTGACTTTTGATGTGATTTCTAGTCAGGGTTTATTCAGGTTAAAATGGATGGGCATCACAGAATCCGGAGCTTATGTTATTAGGATGTGGAAGTTGATGCTGAAAGGACTATTGAAAGATAGACTGGAACATGGGGAACAATTTTAATGTGTTACAAAATCTCAAAAGCTGACTGCTTTCACTATTTTGGGGAAACGGATTAATGGTGTGTAGAGTTACTAATAAATATGTAATATATCAGCAATACCTGTTTTACTGGTGATGTGGAGGGTTTGGCGTGGTAGCCATTTTGGTTTTTATTGTGTGTAATAGCCTCTGGGGCCTTATTACAACAGCAAGAAAAATAGCTGAAGAAAAATGCTGAGGATAGTTAAAGAGAGTTGAGTTATATATGACCAGAACACACCATCATCAGTAATGAATATTTTCAGAACATTCTGCTGGATGCAGACACTTTGAGGCAATGGCTTGAATTCTTTGAATGTGAACTGAACCCTGGCTTAGCCCAATAGGGCTATCTAAAATGTCAGTCTGAAAAATTGGACATGGCGAAGGAACTGGAGAAAATCATATTTTTGCAGTGAGGTATGTAGTTTGACAGAAGTCCCCAGAAGAATTAATATAGTGGACAAGGGCAAGCTGGTGGGTATAATTTATCTAGGTTTTGCAGCTTTTGATATAAGTCACTCACCAGAAATCATTAAGGAAGTCTGGTGACCATGGAGCAGAGAGGTATTTGATAAGAGCATGAGGAATTCCAGATGAACATAGTAAAACCCAAAGCTGATATAATTTTATGTAAACTAGTATTGAGGATGTGTATGCTGGTGAGAACCCTATTCTGGCTCACACCATTCTCAGTCTTGTAACCTTTTCAGAAAGTTGTAACCTTTTCTGAAAAGTCCAGAGCATGAGAGAGGCTTGGTACCTAGGTAAGCAGTAAGAAGGCAAATAAGATGTTAGACTTGTAGAAGTGATGGAATGGAATAAGATGTCATGTAGTAAGTGTATAGTTCTTCCTAACATCATACACTCTATTCCATTGTAGCAATTTCGATTAATTTAAAAAGATAGAGGATGCAGAAAAACAACAACAACAACAATGAAAATAAGTGTATCATATAAAGACAAAACTTAAAAAAAACAACAACAACAATGAAAATAAGTGTATCATATAAAGACAAAACTTAAAAAAAACAACAACCAAGAAAACTATTGTTATCAAGTTGATTCTGAGTCATGGCAATCCTGTATGGCAGCGTAGAACTACCTCATAGGATTTTCAAGGTTGTGTTCGTTATTAAAAGGAGCTCTGGTAATGTAGTGTTTACGAATTGGGCTGCTAACCTTGAGGTCGACACCACGATACTTAACAACAACGTTCTTTATTAGGAGCAGACTGCCACGTCTTTCTCCTGCAGAATGGCTGGTGGGTTCGAACTGGCAACCTTTTGGTTAACAGCCGAGTTCTTAACCACTGAATCACAGAGCTCCTTCATATAAAAGCAGGGCCCTGTAAATTATAGTGATTGTGTGAAGGCTCGCTGAGTTTGTAAATTTTGTTTTGTGGATGAAAGTAGATTGCCTCCAGTTTTTAAAGGTGTCCAGCACAACAAGTGTATATTGTTAAGGAAAATTAGTATGGTATAATAGATATTTCACCACACTAAGATCAGGACTTTGAACTAGTTCATTCCTGTTCAACTTTCTGCTAGGGATTTACATTTTACCCCAGATACACTGAATCAGGCAAAAAAATATAGCTACCATTTATTGAACTCTGACCATATGTCAGACACTGTGCTAAGAATTTTACACGTAAAATTTCAGTTAAGCCTCATAGCCCAAGTCCAAGGGAAAAATATTCTCATTTTCCAGATGAGAAAATTGAAGCTGAGGCTAATTAATGTGCATGATTTGTCACATTTAGTGATTAGAGGAGCTACAACTCAAACCCTTGTTTTTAGTCACCTTGTCTCTTCCACAGCTACTGCTAAAGCATGTGCTGGGTTTAGTAATCAGATGACCAAAATTATCACCTCAGTCTACTCTTGTTGTTGCTGTTAAGTACCGTGGAGTGGGTTCTGACTCATAGTGACCCTACACAGGGTTTCCGAGAGGCTGTAAATCTTTACGGGAGCAGACTGCCTCATCTTTCTCCCGCGGACTGCTGGTAGTTTCGAACTGCCAACCTTGAGGTTAGCAGCCTGATTTGTAACTACTACCCTACCAGAGCTGCTTTTGGGAAGGCTATTTTTGACTAGAACTTTTTTTTTTAAATGTTTTATTGTGAATTATGTGGTAGTCCACATGGGAGAACATTAGCTTTACATTCATCCTATTGTATATCGTTTCATTGCCATGGTTACAATCCCCTCCATGCATCATAAGCCCCTGGGTCATCAGCACACAGCCCTTCTCCCTCTCTGGGTCTAAAGTCCCCAGCTGCTCCATTTCTCCACGCCATCGTCTCTGCCTCTATCTCTGGCATCACTGTTTCTCTGGGTAGGGTCCCTTGATGGTCCCAGGCACCTCTGCTCCTGGACTGCAAAGTCAGTCATTCTCCTCCTTTTGCCACAAAAGGTATCCCTTTAAATTTCCAACCATCATAGTCAGGCCTGATAACAGTTATTCACTATTGTACCACAAGACACCTAGCCTCATATCCTTTCATCAGCCCCGCCCGGACAGATTGGATACACTCAGTGGAGACTCTACCTTCCTCCACACCCTCTGGATCTAGGCTCCCTCTTTTTTTTTTTTTTCTTAGTATAGATCTATTTTATTGACACACCATTATTTATCTAATTTAGTATTGTAATTTTAGCAGAATGAGCAAAAAATCATAATAGGCTCCCTCTTGAAAGCTTGTAAGCTAGTCACTTCTTGCCTTTGATGCCCCACCCCCACCCTCCCCCCTTTTTGGGTAGCCCTTCCCAAGTTGCCCTTCCCTGTCTACTCTGTTTTAGTAGGACTTTTGAGAATTAGGGAATTATGACAAATGGTGAACTGCTCCTTCAGGTTGATCTCATCATGGTGGCATTTATAGGCCAACCTACTGCTGATTTTATTTTCCAAGGAGCTCCTATCATCAGATCTTGTCTGAAGTCTGTAGCTTCAGCAGAATTTGGCTGTTAGTCCTCGGAAGCAGTGTTGAGAGCCTTCCTTGAGTTGTGTCTTAGAAAACCTTGTAAACATTTGGAATGTTAAGCAAGCAAAGCAGTCTCTTTCTCTTATTCCCAAGTGACATGTAAAAGATGCCCTGAGAAACTTGATTAAATAAGGTCTATGTAGGGGGTTAGCCTTTCAGTTGGGCTTCCAAGTTTCTCAGTAATGAGTTTTCTTGGTAGCTGTAGAAACTGCCAATCTGAGAGCTGTTATTCCTTGCTTCCCTTGGGTTAAAATTGGTGCCTAATCTTTATGAGATCTTTCCTCACATCCCAATAGATAGGATGTTTTCAAGGTGAGCAGATCATTGGTTCTCATCTCACTTGTAGAAGATGACCCAACTGCTCAATGAGTTTAAATATATGTACATTTCCATATGCTACCCAGCTGGGATTGGGTCTGGAAAAACTCTAGATATCTTCCAGTGCTGTAAGTGATGGGACAATCATTAAATCCCAGTGTCCTGAGCAGATTGTAGTTTGGGTAATTACATCCTTTTTTTCAGTTCCCCCTGCAGTGTTATTTGGGTATCAGATCCATAAATGGCCTCTCTGGCTGTTAAGCAGCTGCCACTTTCCACCCCCAAGGTGGCTTTGTTTTACGGGTGGGTGAATCAGTTCTTGTGTATAGTTTGTGAAATGGTTAGGGAGCCTTTGGGATGAGAATGTGAGTTAGAAACTTAAAAATATGTGCTTTGTGGTAAAGAAGCTTTTATTTCTCCCGAAAGACATCTATCCCTGTGGTCTGTGTAAACTACTGGCAGGGCAGGACAAAGTGAATATTACGGATGCCGAGTGTTCACTTTTTTAAAATAAGAGGGAAACTGGAAGAAGGGGTTGATTCAGCCTAGAGAAAAGTGCAGTTAGAAAAGAAGTATGGGTGTGTGCATGCATATGCATTCACACACTTACATGTGAGTGTTTGGTGAGTGCCAGACACACTGGGGGATTTAATGAAAATGGGGGGAGTCAGCTGGCAAGATGAGTTGGGCCTGTGTATGAAGAGTGCCATTGTAGAGGGCCTTTTAAAAGTATTTCTGCTAACACTGCTAAGTAGCTAATGGGCTGCCCTAGCTAGTCAAACTCACCTGGAGTTCCTTCTCTTGTTTAACAGTCTGTGAATCCTTATATTGTGAAGCTGTCAATTGTGGATGATGAGGCTCCGCTCAATGTGAGTATCTGGCTCCCTTTCCTAGTTCCGGGCACTGTAGTCATTGAACATTTACAACAAAGAGCAGTGAGCTGCTGTGCTGATTTCATCTAGCTATAAAGAAGGAATTGGTATTTCTTTTTAGAACATTAGTGCTATTGTTTAAATGTCTTCCTATTGTCATGGAGGGGAGACTTGAGGGGACATGTGCTTGCTGAACATGATGAAATAATTGATTATATTTCATATTATAGTGTGTTGAGATTGATATTCTCAGTCAATGAATTACATTTCCAAGAATAAGAAAGCTCAGATGACTAAATGATGGGAGAGTTCTTATAGAAGTAGCCAGATGGTATTTATAGCCTGACTTGGGGAAGCTGAAACATGAAGATTGATAGGCATCTGATACATACACCCTGAGATATTTGAGAAGTAACATCTGATTTCTGTTTATAGGAATGGAAATGTCAGAATGACCAGGTGTCTGGGTTTATTCCCTTTCATCTTGCCCTTTTTATTTCTTCCAGTTTCCCTTTTGTAAAACATGCATACACAATTCATCCTTGTGACCGTAAATGACCTTTGTGTTACACTTAGTAAATTCTGTGGGAAAGTTGTTGTCAATTAAAAATTCATTGAAACTGCTTATCTTAGCCCTCTTATTTTCCTGTAGCCTGGGAGAGAGAAGTTTGTCTAGGAGACCTTCCTTTATCATAGAACTCATTGCCTCTTTTTTTTTTTTTTTTT